GCATGTTAATTTGCTGTTTTGCGAGCTACGTTGATGGACGGATTTCAGCTGTCAGCGGTGACTTCACCGGGCGAAAAAAAAAGTTTTCCACGCAATGTCCTGTGACGTTGACGTGGCACCCTCGGATTTGGCACTTGGAGTTGGGCCCAGGGAGTCCTCGAATCGATATAAAGAAGACAAAACAAGGGGACATGTTCAAGAACCCTGTGAGAGCGAAGCCCACCGTGTTCCGAGAAGGTCATGTGGAGTGACGGATGAGAAGATGGAACAGTCTAGACACAAATCGGAGAATGGTCTTCTGGTTCGTTGAAGGGAGCATCTAAACCCTAAACCATCGTTTGCACTCCAAAACCATGCATTTCCTGTAGATGTTCCCCTCAAATGCAGTGTCACAGTACTAGGGCGTTCCGGATCTTGCCACCAATGAGGTGTTCAGGACCTCATCGTGTCGCCACCTGGCCACGTGTGATCAATTGACCAATCAAAATTGGAGGTACGGACGTATAGGGAGTGATCTCAAGATTCTGGACACCCTGTAGCTGCCCTGGCTCAACATGCAACTTTTAAGTCTGCAGCTGCAGGCCACCGAGGACATAGCTCTTATGGGCATGATTGGATGCCTTTCGGGAAGCGTCAAAAAGAGAGTTTGAAGAGACCTTGGCGGGATGGAGACCAAATTCCTCTTGAGGAGGAGTGAGGAGCCTCTATAGATTATATATTATTGCATTGTGGAAGAACCCTCTTGGCCAAAAGGGTCACGCCATTAACTTGGCTCAAGCTCATTGACGCGATGGTCAAAAGGACCGCGAAGCCTGCAGCTCCACGCTGCCACTGCACCCCACCCCGCAGTGGTAGCGGAGCTGGTTTCAATCCAGGGACCGCGTTAGAGCTTAGCATGGACACTCCCGCTCTACCTCCTGGTTTCTCCCCAGAGGATGCAGATTTGGCATCGGCCTGCTGGCCACTCTCCTGGAGTCGCTTCTGGTGAAGGCCAACGACCCTGTGGTTCTACCTCCTCTGACGGAGGTGAGATCCTTGGATTCGACGTAACCTTTGGACTCGACCACCAACACTGACACAGGAGACCATGGCGGCTGACTACTTGCAGTTTCTTCAGTGGCGACAAGGTCTTGATGCTGGCCAATCCGCTGCTCCGACAGGTATGCCAACGGCACCAATCAGAAGGCCAGACTTCGTTCGACTTGAAGCCCAACCCGATCTCCATCCACTTCATTGGGGCACTGCGGCTCGAGATGAAGCAGAAAGTGCCACTGCAGGCCCTCCACCAGAGTGGGATGGGGGAACCAAGATGGAGTTCAGAGACTACAAGATAAAGGCCAAACTTTGGCTGAGAACGACCCGAACACCACCTACAGCTAGGGGACCTATGTTGTTGAAGGGCCTCACCGGCCCACCGTGGGAGCACATGAAGTTTCTCTGGACGATGCAGACAAGGGTCGCATTCGCATCAACCTCATGGACACGAAGGAGTACTATGGAGAAGAGGAGAGGGAATCCATGCTGGCGGCATGCAGCCGCATCACCTGTCATCTTCGCCGAGCCAAAGGGGAAAAGGCTCAGGCCTTCATGTTGCGTTGGGATGACGCAGGGAGACGTGTCAAAGAGAAGGGGGTCAACCTTCCGGGAGAATATCAAGGCTTTCTCCTGGTGACAGCTCTTCAACTCACCAGTGAACAGATCAAGTTGCTGCTCAACTACACTCGTGGCCCCCTCCAGGTCCCGGACGTGAAGGCCTGGCTAAGGATCCACGAGACCGACCTTGACATCACCACCCTCGGCAACGACAAGAAGAAGACGGCCAATGAGGTCCACGCCATCTACGAGGAGAACAATCAGGACGATGAGAACGCCATGGACTTTGAGGGGACCAGATTCCGGACGAGGACACGGAGATGTTGCTCACCGATGTCCGGTGGGGAGTCTGAGGGTCATCCGACCACTGAGATCACCGAGAGCGAGGCCAAGGAGGTGCTTCCGACAATGTTGAAGGAAAGACCACGAACCCGGTCCTTTCAGGGAGCGATGAAGGCTTAAAGAGTAACCGTGATCTGGCTCGAGGCTTCGGGGCAGATCGTGAGCTCTCATCCTCGCGGCCGAAAAGGACTTCCTTTCGGCCCGAAAGTCTTTGTACGACGCCGTCAACAAAGATACCAACCCGCCCTCACAGTGCGAAGACAAACGCACTTCCATCGACATCTCATTTTTAAAGCAAGAGGTGAACGAGATGAACGGCCGAGTTCGGTGGATTGACGGGCGAACGAAGGACATGAAGGGAGAGTTTCTCAGAGGTGATGGCCTCTGGGAGATGGAGTATCCTGGAGGAGGGAGCAGCACTTCAGCAAAAGCTCGCTGAGCGAGGAGGAGGGTGCGAGATCTTCCTGGTGAGTGGCACTTTTTGGCCAACATAACATAAGTTGTGGTCGGTGCATTGTGGAAGAACCCTCTTGGCCAAAAGGGTCATGCCATTAACTTGGTTCAAGCTCATTGACGCGACGGTCAAAAGGACCGCTACAGCTCCACGCTGCCACTGCAACCCTCAATTTTTATATGTATATATAGTCCAAAATAATGCACGGGAGGATCCAGTGAGCATATTTTCTGCCCCCGTCAGGAAGATGGATGTATGAAGCATGTGAAATTCTCCACACAAGGCCGTAAAGTTTCATTGAATCCTCAGCAAGGGAGCAGTTTGCGCAGCTATCTTCAGTTTGGAAGCTCATGGAACCAGCTGTCCTGGAGGCAAAGTCGAGGATTGTTTCGGAGATCCATGAGGCCAAAACAACCTCAGAAGATATTTCCCCTGCGCGGCGTGCGTTTTTGTGGGGTTGGGGAGATGAAAGGATGTCGCTTGATCACTTGCGTGTGCTTGACTCGACAGCGTACGACATACACGCCAAGAGGCCAGCGGGCTTGGTTGGTTCAGGTTTTCTTCCACTCGGTTGAACGGTAGATCCGGGTTGGATCAGGATGAACTTGGGTCATGTGGGTGTGTATTTGAGTCAGGAGACCTTCAATCAATGGCTTTGGGTCTCTTAAGGATTCCACAGGTTGTTGCCTTGGTGTTTGGCGGAAGGGAACGCCCTTTCTCCAAATGCCATGCCTCCGCCGTCAGACTCCGAGGCCCCGAAGCCTTGGCCTTGGCCGCGCGAGACGGCGAAGGCGGGGCTTTCAACCGGCCTCAGAGTCGATGTGGAGGAGGGTCCAAGGTCAGAGCCTGCAGTCAACCCGTTTGGAGCTTGGAACATGGGTAACAAGTTTTTGCCATAGTAACTATATAAAATGTGTATATATATAGTATTTTTTTGGTAGGGTCATGTGCCATGTTCCAAGTCATTTTGGAGCGTCCAACAGGTCTTATATGGTTTCTGAAGACACAAAGGTCGCCGGAGGTTGCTCCTGTTGGAGGTTGCAGCTTGAGGTGTATTGGTTTCGTTGACAGGGAATTCCAGCGGGCGAAGTTGAAAGATGTTGAACTGATTGTTTGGACATGAGGCCTATCATCCCTACAGGTCGAAAGACCATCAAAGACCCAGTAACCTTGGTCCTTTACTTCACCTCATTGAGTATGGTTTTGGTGTTTTTGTATGATGGACTTTGACCACGGGTAGACCTGTAGGATATCATTTTCTACAGGGTTTTTCCAGGTAGACCTGTTCGTTGAGCTTCGACTCGACCTGTCGATGCGTGCAAGCGGGGGACATCGGAATTCCATGGATCGATCAGATGGGCCTGGCGGACGGTGGACGGGCCAGTGGACGGGCGGTTTCGCCTCACATTTTTGGGTTTTGGCATCCCCCAAAAAGAATCATGCCATGTGCCCGTACCTTTCAATGTAGTTTGTGTATGTTTGAAAGGGACAGTTTGACGTGTCATGACCTGAGGGAAAACAGATATATATATATATATTGCCCTGGACCATCCAAATGGGTGTCCAACCCGAAGTCGTGGTGGTCATTCCCCGTAGATACCAAACCAATACCAAGTCCAGGACTCCGGACACATGTCTACCCCTCCACACAGGATGAACACACCAGTATAATAAACCTGGTCCATTTCTACCAATGGAGGTGCTTGAACACCTCTTTGACCATCTTTGGCTCTACAGGTCTGGCCCGAGACTTGGTCGAGTCCTTGTTGGCGGTCAGCGACTACCAGGCGGTCAGCGACTACCACGACCATCCGCGCCCAGTGTTCCCGGCCAGACCCCAATCGCGAGCTCCAGGCCCAAGTGTTCCCTGCCGGACCTCAACTGCGAGGAAACGCCAAAAAGAATGTCAAACAGAATGTCGGGAGATATGCAAAGAATGCCGCGCGCAATGTCAGAAGATATGGAAAGGATCAATCGGAGAAATCTTTTCTGCTATTTGCAAGAGGTGCGTGTGCAGAGGGAACACGAACGCCTTTCTGCAAGATTGCAGACTTCATTCCGTCACAGCTGGAGGAAATTCAAACAGTGGGAGCCAATTTTCGTAACAACAACGCCAGACAGAGCAAATCTCAGCAGATGCTTGCGTCTGATGGTTGGAGCGCCGCCATGAGAAATGATAGCGTGGGCCTCAATTGCTTCTCAGCGGAGCGGGCTGCTACGGGCGACTGCGCACAGCACGCAGTAGAGCAATCTGCAAACAGCGGTGTCGAGAGTCCAGAAGCAGAATGGCGAACCTTTAGCGAGCCATCTGCAGCGATGGCGCAGAAGGTCACTGCAATTGAAAAGTCTGCCAGTGGGTTCAAGTTGCTTGCAGATGGTTTGGTGAGGTGAGGCAATGGATGTTGCCTTGTGCAGGAAGAAGAGAAAAGACGCCCTTGCGAAACCGCACGCAGCATGCGTGCTTGTTGATTGGCGCGGGCGGCGCTGGCAAGGCAACCATCATTTTAGAGCTCATGCTGGATGTCTTTTGTCGCCTTTTCCCGGCCAGACCCGGAGAAGAAGAGCGATACATGATTGCCAGCTGCAGCCACGCCCAATCGGATGCCAATTCGAATGATGTCTATCGCGCAAGAATATGTCATACTGCTTATTACTCGTATCGTGTAGCCAGTTTGTGTAACAAGCACCTGGCCTTGAAGACAAAAGAGCAAGAGATGAAACAACGCTGGCAGCCGAAAGGTTTGGGTGATCAGTTTGGTATACCAGCTGCAGTGGAAAACATGATGCTGTATCGCGGTATGCGCGCCCGTCAAGATGAAGACTTGGATCCAGCCAGCTATTTCCACCCAGGAGAGCTCATGGGACACATACCGATTTTGCTGATTGCAGGTGATTTCTTGCAGATCAAGCCTGCCAACGAGATCTCTTTAGCTGACAATCTGGAGGAGCTCATCCGCAAAATGCCGCGCAGAGTGCAGACAGAACATCATGCTGCGCAGGCGGCGTTGATGAGCATCGATACAGTGATTCATTTGAAGAAGTCGAAGCGGTTCCTGGATCGCCGGCAATTACAAAAGCCATGCGCATGTGCACGCCCACTGCACCTTTGTCAGCTGCGCACCCGCAAAATCGAAACTTGCAAGAAGGAACTGGCGACGCATTTGTTCAAGCATGGCCACGTCATTGGAATGTATTGGGAGAACATTGCTCGCAGCATGGTGGAAAGAGCAGATCGACGTGCGCAAGAGCTTGATGTGCCATTATTTTGTTTGCAAGCTGCTGACCAAAGACATGCCAGAAAATATAAAGCCATAGACAAGCAGTTGACGCATCAGCTGCTCACTGTTCCAAACCCACATCGCACTGGCAAGTTGCAAGGCGTGCTACTGGTGCATGGCATGAAATCATGATTGTGCGACTGGCTGATGTCTTGGCTCCACACCTTGGACTGGTTAAAGACAAACTGGCAGTGGCCGTGAAACTGGATTTGCACCATGAAGATCAGAAACGCTTGCAATGTCGGGAACCTGGTTTTTGACGTGTTTTCCTGACTACATGGCTAAGGCGGCTAAGGGTATCTGGGTGAAATTACTCAAAGGAAAGAATTCACCATGGAAGATGCTCTGTTGCAGACGTGGGAAGAAAAGTTTCAAAATAATGTTGCCGATCACGCAGCTGATGCAAAGACATTGTTCTTTGTGGAAATGGTGCACGCCGAGTTCAAAATTGATTTGAAGCTAGGCGAAGAAACGGAGAAAATCGAAGTGATTCGCTGGCAGTTTCCTCTTTTGCATGGCATGCTTCGCACTACTTACAGTGCGCAAGGCCTGACTTTGGACGGAGGTGCGCTGGTGGCTTGGAGGATGCTGACTGGTGGCTAGCCATCTCTGTCATGCTGACACGTGGCCGCAAACTGAAGAATCTCGTCCTACTGGGGTTCACCGAGCAATGTGGAGGATCTTTTACGCGGAGGTCCACCTACCTACCTGCGAGAACTGACTGACAAATTGGAAGCGAAAGCTGCTTCGACACTGGAGCGACTGCAGTCCTGGCCTGTCTATGATGCATTGCAAGCGCCCTGACATGTTTCTCTGCCTGTGGGACCTAATTGGTTTTGACTGAAGCGGTCTGGCGGAAGCAGAGAATTGTAGTTCGAGCGGTCTGGTGAAGTCATACTGGCCTGTTTGTCGCTGGTTTATGCACAAGCTTCTGGCAGGCGGTGTGCTGACATGTTTGAGCATGTTTGGTTGCTGCATGTTTGGGGCATGTTTATGCACAAACGTTTGACAGGCGGTGTGCTGACATGTTTGAGCATGTTTGTTTGTTCGCAACTGTTTTGAAAGCTCTTGAGTTTGGTTCCGGTGGCCCACTGGCCTGTCTGCCTCCTGTTTACTCAAACGTCTTTGACATCAGTCCTGTTTATCCATAAATGTTTGACAGGCGGCGTACTGACATGTTTTGGCATGTTTGTTTCCGCGCTATGATTCAGGTGGTCCACTGCCATGTGTATGGCCTTTTTTTGCACAAGCGCCAGATAGACTTTGTCAACCTCAGCCGACAACCGCTGCCAGGTGAAATGATGTGAGTTTTATTATTAGTTGGGCACAGGTCTCCTGATGAAAGCATTCGCTTCGGACAAAACAGTAAGACTTGGCGCTGAAGGACTTGTGCTATGGCAATGGGCTGAAATACACAACGAGGGTGATGTCAACGTGGCTGTTTTGAAATGTCATGGTGGGGATCACTCGAAGTAAGGTAGTTGATTTGATTGAACTGGATGGTCCGGACGTATACAGCCTTACATCGCTTCAGAGTAGCTGGCACACTTTTATGAAGAAGGCAGCCGGTGAATATGGGCCTCTAAACACTCTGAACCCTTCACACACAGAAGGACGCCTCCTGCCAATGGGTTTTGGATGGTTTTGGCTTATTTCCCTTTTTTTCAGGGGGTCTTTTAGCGTTTTTTGAGAGGTCTCCCTATTTGGATAAACACACTTCTGAAACCACTCCATCAAAGCCGTTCCTTGTTGCAACATTTTTACTCGAGACGACTGAGTAGCGACTGTGATGTGATGTGTATATTAATAATCTGTACAATCTGACGAACACGAACTTGGGTGGCATGCCGCCTGTCAGTGAGTGAGAGTGTAACTACTGTTGGAAAAAACTAAGTATCATCTCAGAAACAACCGCTGGCTGATGGTGGGAACCTTTGCCAGTCAACATTTTCCATTTGTTTGGCGAGTTCAGCAACAGCAGGACATCCCAAGTGATATCAAGTGACGATCTTCTCACTCCAAGCACCTCAAAGTACCTTTTTGATTTAGTTGATTTGTTTTGTATCCCATGTTCAAAAAAACGGTCCATTGGAAGCATCTCCTTCCGTGGATCTTTTGGATCAACTACCCCTCACCATCGCTGGATGCCCACAGATCCCGGATCTGCAGACAAACTCAGATGACTTATATAGATGACCTGCATCATACCCCAGACCATTCACGGGTAAGAGTTACATACTCATAATTGTTATAAAGTAAACTTGTTATATCATATTCAACCGCATAAAAAACATTAACCAATATACTTTACCTCACTAGAAACAGTTGCATATAATAGAGTAACAACTGAACCCCTGAACATGAGCCATCCATGGTGGGCGCAACTCTTCCAGTCTCAATGCGGGCTTTCCCTCCACTCCAGGCCTTCGTGGAGCTGATGCAGCGCGTCGCGAGACAATGCGAGGAGCGGTGCGCGCGGTGAACGCGATGTGAATGGACACCAGTGGAAGCTCTTGGATTGGGGAGGGGTGTCAGTTTTATATACTGTATGTAGATTAATCCACTCTTGGATGGTGAGGACATGTGAGGACAAACACATACCCGAGTTACGACAATTCTCAGGTAATTATGTGTTTAGCGGCCCGCTAAAAACTTATATCTATGTGACAGACAATATCAGAAAACTCTCAGGCAGCGAAACTGTCAGACAGTGGGCACCCGCGACGTTTGCGCCGATGCACTGGGTTTTCAACTCAGGTTTACGTCGATCTGAGCATTTCAATGTCAGTGCTTGGCGAAGGAGTTACGCAGAAAGAAAAGTGCCGGGTTTTGACAGGACTCCTGCATATTAGGGCTTGTATTAGGGCTCTATAATTCTACAACACATAAACTACATAAATATATATATATATATTATGTCACATTCGTCCCAAATCCTTGGGCCATTGGAAGTGATGGGGTTCATGTTCTTCATACTCCGAGAGTCCGGGATGGGACTGTGATGCTTTCCGACGATCCGCAGAGTCCGGTCAGCAGGGATCTCCGCGGCTCTGCGGCTCGATGCGGTAGGACCTTGCGATGGGTGTGGTTTTGAGAAGTTTTAAGGGTCAATGTAGCTAAATATTCAATCATGGATTGTTAGGGTTAAGTAAAGACAGAGAGAGAGAGAGAGAGAGAGAGGGAGAGAGAGTGATCAGAGATGCCCAACACCAGTGGTTTCCAAAAGCTATAACGGAAGCCCCAACATGTCCGAAAGAAGCTTCACCTGGTTTTCTGCGGGCTGAAAGATAGTGAGTGACCTTCGCCTCTTGAAAGATGCCGGTCGCATCTCAGTCGAAGAAAGGGCCCAGAGGAATGCTGCTTTGTCGCAGCTCCAAAAGGCGTGGCGTGAAGCGAGGCTGTCGAGACCCTTAAGGGTCAACCCCGCCCCGAGTCCGGTCGGATGCGCGAGTGGTGAACGAACGATCACGCGATCGCGCGCTGGTTGAGACACTCCTTCGATTCGGGGGGTGGCTTAGGAAGTCTTCCGCGTAGAACATGTGCCAGGGGTGGGGAAAGCTGACCCTGTCTAGTGCCCATCCAGTCAACCGGACCTGTCCAGGCGGACAGCTGCACAGGCTGGTGCAGCGCTGCAGGGGTCGGGGAATCGACGTGGGCGAAACTCAGAAATGCCACGTTCAGAACAGGACATGGGGCAGTCGATAACAGAAATGGTGAGTTGGTGAACACCATTACTGTATAAGTTTCAATCCCTCCCCATGTATTTGGAGCCAAGTCGAGAAGTGCAGCCGGCACAAGAGTGAGCAGAACACGCAAAAAAGCCTCCAATGACAGGTGGTTTTTGGACACCCCTCAGAGAACCTCCATGTATATAAGAGGCTAATTATAGACACCCTTGTGTTCGGGTCAAGGAGAAAAGCCACCCTTAGGGTTGGTTGACCACCGCACTCGCCAGTATGCTGTGGCTTTGCGAAGGAAAAGCCCGATGTGTGACTGGTTGCAGTCAAGGCACCTGTCATAGCTCCCCGAACGACACGAGTGTTCTGCATGTGTGATGGAGAGAGATCTGAGGTTTGAAGCAGCAGCCGATGCAATTGATTGCAGCGACATTGTGCTGTGCCATCCAACTTCATCGTTTGGATGGCGTATGATGGCGTTATAATAGATCACCTGCAAAACTTTTTTGGGGAACCATGGTTCGGCTCCATGTGCTTTCCCCCCAAACAGTGTGCACACACTATAAGGGTTCTTACGGTAAGGGTCAGGCACCGGTGTTAGATTAATGGTCACCGACGTGGCCGGCTAATTCGCTGCTATTTACAGTACATGCATGCCTCTCGAAATCCTCGAAGCGGACTTCCGACTGCGCAGGCTCGCAAAATCTGGGTGGCTGGAGCCGGTGCTTCTCGCGACCACGTTCTCGTTGTGTTGCCACGCGCATTTTCGAACATGGTATAGTCACTTTTCGCGATGGCAGGCGAGAAGTCGACTTTTCGTGACAGGTGCAAGGGATCGGAGCGGTTTTACTTCGAAGTGCAGATTTCGTGGCAGGTGCAGCACTTTGGACATGTGAGGTGGTGGTGATCTTCGGCATACTCTGATTTTGTGAAATCTGCAGTGAACCGTGACTTTTGGGCATGTGGCTCGTTTGTAGGTTTCGTGGCAGGCGCTGCAGATTTCGTGGCAGGCACAGCACTTTGTCAACCTCGTCGTGGCAGGCACAGCACTTTGTGAACCTCGATGTGCAGATTTCATGGCATGCGCAGGACTTTGCGAACCTGGAAGTTTCGTGGCAGGCGCAGCACTCACACTCACTCTCACTCTCACTCGATCTCTCACTCTCACGCGCACTCGCACTCACTCGCACTCACTCTCACTCACACTCACTCTCACTCATTCACCACCACCGCCACCATCACCATGATCTCCACCTTCATCACCACCATCACCTCTCTGGTCTAGATCTCTAGACTTTCTGCTGCTACGCCTCTAGACCTCACACACACACAGTTATTGAAACGCGTGCTGACTTGATTGCGGTTGCCACACGGCAGCCTAAGTAAAAACCGCCTAAGGTGCCAGGGTACAAACACCATCAAATTTCTTTCCTCAAAGCGACGAGAATCCTGCAAACCTCCAAGCTCAAACCTCAATCTCAAAACACGTGGGTGACTGCCGATGCAAACAGGTGAGAGTTCTTGTTCTAGTGACGAAGGGGCCCATGACGAAGTAAGTGGTAATCGCAGCAGGTACGTCTGGCTGATCAGGACAGATATCAGCACGGAGCTTGACACCAGCCAAGATCGTGGGTGACCCCCCTGCTTCTGTTGTATAGGAAAAACAATCCGAAAGGAACCTTGTGATTCCAAAGGTGACACACACACACACACTCTGACATTGGTTTTCAGTTAACTCGATTCCCAGGTCAAAAATCGTGAGGGAACGGCAAGGTGGAGAGTCCGAAAATTGTAGATGTTTTAACAAGTGGTTTACGCGCATCTGCAGAATTCACGACGGCAGCGCACGGCGGCTCAGTGACT